GCTGGCTCTATGGCTTGGAAACGGGGATGAGCACCGCACCCTAGAGTCGAACACGACTGAACAAAAATTGTCAAGGGGAACCTTTACCTTACCTTACAGGTTGTTGACAGTTCAAATGTCAGCGACGGCTTTGTACGGCAACCTGAACTCTGGGACTAGAAAGAAATTAATTAACTGCCTAGTCTCCTCCTTTGCAACAATTCTCACAACACCCTTCAGTCTTTGAATCTGTCTTCAAGCAAGGAAAGGTCCCCACCTCTGCAAAGGTAGTCACCAAGTGAACATGTTGTTTCTAAAAATCCACTTTTTATATGAAATATTAGCCCTGCAACTTCACTGAACAGAGGCATAATTACACTGTACGACTGCTTTTACCTGTTAATCCCTTTCCCTTATCTTTCCCCACTTTTCATCTTTAAATTACAAAAAGCCAAGACCTATCCTTCTAACTAGAAAATATTTTGGTTGTGTTCCTCTAGATGCTAAATTGTAATTTATTGGGTCTAACAAACTGGAATAGAATTTTAGAACAAAGCAGTTTGCATTCTTGGCTCAAACTTAAGTCAAAGAACATTAGGGTGAATATCATATATTTTAGTGCACTTTACAATAGAAGTGGGGAACTTATGTTCTTCCAGATGCTGTTAGATTACATCCCCCACCATTGCTGACTATTGCTGTGCTGACTGGTGGTAATGGGGTTTGGAGTCCAACCTTATCTGGTTCTCTGCCCTCCCTGGTTTATTGCCTCTCATTCCCTTACTAGCGTATTTCCTTTTCCTTTTTTTTCTATATTATCTTTAAAGCCCATACTATATATTGATGACAATATCAGTATTGTCATCAATATATCAATATCGGTATTGTCATCAGTGGTATTCTCAGCATAGGATCTGGGGCAGACATCTAGAGCTCAACTCAACAGAAGCAGCAGGAAGGTCACAACACACAGGTTGACCTAATATATCTTAAAGTAATAAAACACACAACTACCGAAAGAGCAGACCAGGCCATTAATTCCAGAGTCCAGAATTAATCTAACCCCACCCCTTCAATACAATTCCAATAAACAAAGGGAATGTAGTTAAATTTTAAGAGTGCCCACAGACACACCTCAAAGTGGGGTACAGAAATAACAAGCGAGGGGAACTGCCTCCTCCTGCTGCTCCTTTCATCACCCCACCCAAAACCAACAGATGGCTACATCATTTAGGACAGATGATACTTCTTTGCCTGGATTGATCCTGTGTTCACAGCTAATAAATCATCTCTCTCTATCTGCTTGGATGTCACTCACTCTCTGACACCCTCCCTGACTACGTGGAAAGCCTGACCGCAGGAACCTTTTAATCTAGTGTATAAAGCAAAGTCGCTTCTAATAGTAGCAACCAACCTTCCCGGCGGCAGAGGACCAAGCCGTACCTGTGTTCACAGCATGTCCTTCCATCACATGCTTAGGGGATGACTATACTAGCAGCGGGGAGTGAGCTAGCGTGAGCCAATTGGGAACAGTCAGGCTTGATTAGAATGATCCAATCAAACCTGACTGTTCACACAGAAATGGTTCCCGTCAGTATCATGAAGTGGCTTAATAAGCAGGCCAGTTCAGAATATTGGCAAATTAACCACTTTCCCTGCTCAGCAGAGGGCAGGGGAAGTGGGGATTTTTTTTATAGCTGTAAACCAACTATTGCTGAAGTGCTGCATCACTCATAATTTTAAATACAGTATATATATCTTTTGTTTGCTTCACCTTAAAGGGCCAGTTGACTGTACAGTATATGCAGATGAAGCGACCAGCCCATTCTTGCAGTGCTCCAAACAACAAGCTAAATGGCCATGTAGTCAGCCTTTCACCTTGCATTTAAATGTCAAAACATTGGCCCTGGCATATAAGGGAGGAGCTTTTGTTATTTTAGCTTGTCCAATATCTGGTGCCCTCGAGTTGTGTTGGAGAACAATTCTCATCACCCCCAGCCAACATAGTGGTGTGAAATCCTTTTTCCCTACTAAGTTTCAGTTCTTACCAAAGCAGGGAGCAGAGTCCCTCATGAAACACCTATACAATTGGATGATCTCTTTTCTTCAGCACCCTCCCTTTGCTTTTGGAATATAATGTTTAACGCTAGTTCTGGGACAACATGGGCAGCTGCAGGGAGAACCAAGGTATATGTTTTCTGAAGCTATGCTCAGTTTCAGAAGATAGATCCTCCATCTCCTCCACCTCACTGGATTGGCTTCCTCTAGATCCGTGGTTCCCAACCTTTTTTGAGTCATGCCCCCCTTTATAATACCCAAGTAGCTTATGATCCCTCCACATTTGTTCAAAAAATGCATTTTTAATGGAGTAAAATCATCCCTTCTCTGAAAGTGGAGGCTTCTTTCTCCCCCAAAGGACCTGTTTCTCATACATACATACATACATACATACATACATACATACATACATACATACATACATACATACATACATACATACATACATACATACATACATACATACATACATACATACATACATGCTAACTTTAATCTCCCACTCTGAAAGATCAAGACAGAAATTTAAGGGCTACAACACATATAAGGTGATCCGACCCCCTTCCAGAAAATACTTTGTGACACCTCCCCCCCCTTGGAGATCATGACTCCCAATTTGGGAAACACTGCTCTGGATGGAAGAACAAGTGTGCCAGGGCCAACCCAACAACCAAGCGGTCACTTAAGTCAACAATATTTTAAGACACTGGGTGCAAAAGCTATGTGTTTTAAACCCATGTTCAAAAGGCCAATGTCTTAAGCTGGGTGTGCTGTGTAACCGGGACCCCATTGTCAGCTGAGAAATTATAGGGCAAGAGTGAACAAAATTATCTGAATCGGCTGGGAAATTTCTGGCTGATTTTTTTGCTTCACCGTAAGCAAGGATGAGCAAGGATTTCTATCTCCCATTGGTTTAGTGGCAGCAGCGAAGTGACTCCCCACCCCACTGAAATAACATCAAATCCTGATTAAAAGATAAAAACCTGGGATAATCTGGAGCCAGTTCCTTCCTGGACGGACTTTGAGCACCATTCAGTTCTGGTATAGATAACAAACCACTGGGCTCAGAATCCTGCAATCACAATGATTCTTTCAT